TGTCTAGCCATGGACGTGCTCTTAGAAAGTACTGTACATCAGAAGGTATTTACACCTAATGAGGGAGAATTCAAAGCACTGTGAGGCTCTGCCATCAGTCTGTTAGGAGAAACCTGAGCAGAGTAGGTTTCATTTCACTTGAAGAGATGAAATAACTGGAACAATGAGTGACTGCTCAGTGAGAAGAGACTAAGAGTCAGCCTTCTGGTGGGAGAGCATCCGCTCCGAGGAGGGCGAATGAATGCTGTTGGAACAGATAAACTCATCTCAGTGCACAGGCATCTGCCTCACAGGGCCAGAGGGGGAGTTGCTGGTGCTCAGCAGGAGCAGACCCGGTGCTGAAGGCAAGGAGGGCTGCAGGATCGGGCTGGCATTTGGCGTATAAAGGAGGGGAAGGACCCCTGCAGTGCGATGCTCCATTAACACTACTCGGTGTGCTTCTCCGTGTGAATTCCCTTGCGACATCTGTGTGTATTCACAGCTGGTACACATTTCTTGTTTTTTCTGCCTCTGCCCTGTAGCTGGAGAGCGGCCATTAGTTAAACTGCTTTTACTAATTATTCAGTAATTTATTGTAATTTTTTTAAAGTACAAATACTACATGTGATTTTACACTGTCTGTCTGTCTGTCATGTACTCAATAAACAAACCAGAACCAACAGGCTACCTTGGCTGCCTTTTATTTCTCTGAGCTCAGCAATGATTGCATGTTCTCTGGCCACAGCAGGTTGCTGCAAGTGCTAGATTGCTGTAACTGGCGTCAGGCCACTTTGTTTCTTCTTATTTTTATCACTTATTATTAATAATGATTATTTATTTTTAATATTTTGTTATTATTACATATGCGTAGTTACCTTTATCTATAAGCATGCACCTTATTAATAAACACAGCATTGCAAACTTCTGTTCAGTGGATTGCAGTCGGTCTTCACTTGTGAAGACGGCTCAGACCAAGTGAGGGGTTCGGAAGGGGGTTGGTTGGTTCGGAAGGGGGTTGGTTGGTTCGGAAGGGGGTTGGTTGGTTGGTTGGTTTGTTGGTTGGTTGGTTGGTTGGTTTGTTGGTTGGTTGGTTCGGAAGGCGGCGCGCAGAGCAGCCCCGCGCCATCCCTGCGATGCACTGCCGCGGGGGCGGGGCATGGCGGCTGGGGGTGGGGCTTAGAAGGCGGGGCCGGGGGATTGGCTGGGAGCGGGGTCATGTGAGCGGAAGGCGCGAGTTGCCATGGCGAGGGAGGCATGGCGGCGCCCTGTTGGGTGTTGCGGTGCTGCTCGTGCCGCCGCTTCCAGGCGCAGCAGGTGGGGTGCGGGCCGATGGGCCGGGAGCGCGCTGCGGGCCGCATCTGACTCCCTCTGCTCCTCCTAGGCCAAGCGGAGCCGGAAGTGGAGCTGCTGCGTGTGCGGACAGCGGCAGGCCCTGCAGAAGGTGAGGGGCCGGAAGGGCCGGGCAGCCTGTGGTGGCAGGGGGCGCCGAGTGGTGTTGGGAGCGCTGTGTGGTGTTGGGGGCGCTGTGTGGCTCGGCGCGCTGAGGCGCGGCGTCACGTCCTGCTGTTTGTTCCCTGCTGGGCGCTCCCTGCCTCTGTGTTACTTCTGCAGGTCTACGGGCAGGGCTCCGGCCGGGACTGCAGGCTGCACGTCCAGAAGCTGAACTTGCTGCAGGGTGAGGCGGAGGAGGCCGCTGCCCGCACGGCTCGGTAGGTAGGGGCTCGTAGGGCTGCTGGGCTGCTCTCCCTGCTGAGCGCGGTTCTGCCCTGTGGTAAAGCCCAAACGTGTGCCATCCGTGTCACCCACCTCTCGGTTACACACCGCTGGATTTAGCGTCCTGGCATGCTGCTTTGAACGAGGGCTTCTTTCAGATAAGATCGTTATTGTGTTGGTTAGGCCTTTGCCTGTTAAAATATGTGGAGCAGAGTTTTTATTTGTTTGGTTAATCTCTTTTATTGACAGAAATGCATTAGTGCAAACATTTGGGTGTAACTCCTCCTGGGCTGGAAAATCTTAGTGAGGCTTTCCTGTTTATTTCACCCCAGTCTGTTTATTAATTGCCTAATTGTGAACTGAGCTTGAACTTGTAGAGCTTCCTCTGCACTCAGGGTTATTTTCAGAGATGAATCAGAGGCAGTTAGATAACTTTGTTGTGTAATGCAGTGCTCCAGGGTTAAGTTTTGGGAAGAAAACTCTGTGTTTGTTCACCTTATGAAAAAAAAAAAAAGTTGCTGTTCACAAACATTATGAAATAAATTCCCTGTTTCCTTGCTTGCTTAGGGCATAATCAGTGGTTTTAAGCTGTCATCCCAAAAGATACGCTGTTCTATCCCTAATTACGATCAATTAAAAATTGTCAGTTCATGGCTAGTGGCTTTCGATCAGAATCATTTGTATGGGAGGAAAGCAGACTAACCTCCAATACAGTATAAACAGTCGATTTGCAGACTGGATTAGGAACTCCAATTTAAACATCTGTTTCAGGCACAGAGAAGAATGTGAAAACGACAACAGAAATGCAGCAGTCCTTCATGAGAACAGTTTGGTGCAGCAGGTGAGACACCTACAAAGCTGGAGTAAATACCTAGCCATGCTGACCTGGGGAATCAAAGTGAAACCAGTGATCCCTTTATATTAACACAGCTGAGATGATAGTGTGTATATACAGGCTGCAGGAGAGATGTAGAATGTGATGCAAACAGAAACTTTCTGCTCTACCCGGATGCTGAACCTGGGAACAAGATAGAGGAACGTGTCCTAAAGTGACTTGTCGCTGGAGGCATTCAGCACAAATGTGACAATGCCAGGGTTGAGAATCTTGTATTTTGCTGTTTTCAGTAATTCTCCAATGTTGTAGGGGGGAAGGACAGAAGTCAGTCGCTGGAGTAAGTATCTGGACAAGGGCAGTGAAGATCAAGAGGAGGAGGAAGAGGAAGGAAGTACAGAAAGGCAACAGTTCTGTTCTCGGAGGAAGAATGCTGTGGAAGAACGAAGGTACAGTGATACAGGCTGGCATTTCAGATGACAACAGAAAGAACTTTTTTTTGTAATTCCTACCTTTAAGTGTAGTTAAAGGGTTGTGGGAGATATTTTATTATAGCTGAACAAAGTACAGGCTGTAATAAACAGCGTGGCTTGACTTCTGTTGCTAGGAGTTTGCTTTTCATGAGCATTTATGGTGACTTGTTTGTGATAAAAATAACACTGGAGTTAACCAGGCACCTTTCTGTGTGGTTCTTTTGATCAGGAAAAAGCAGGAGAGTTTCCTCTACAGTGATGTTCAGGAGAACTCAGAGGAAGATGGTGCTTTCCAGTTTACCTATCAAGCCAAAAAGGTTAGAATCTCTTGAGTATTTTTAGCTGTAGAAGACTAAAGCAAAACAGTGTTTTCCTGGTTCCTTTCATGTCATTGTAACTTTGAAGTTTTAAATGTCTTCCTCTGCTCTAATATTGAATGAACGGGGAGAAGCAGCAAATCGTATTGTGACTTTCTCTCTGCAGGGTTTTAGTCAGGTATAAGCAAATGCCATCTGATATAAGGTAAAAGTGGTTTGGCCAGATTCCTCCATCAGTGCAACTGTTGTCAGTTCTGTTTTGCTGTTGTTGAGCATCAACGCCTTGCATAAGACACAGCTATGGGGTTACTGTAATTATCTGCCCTGCTAGTTAAGTTGCCTTGAGTCTTCACAGCCCAGAGTTCATAGATCCAGCTCTGCTTCAGATTGCTGGTGAAAACATAAATGTATTTAAAGGACAAGAGTGCTCTTTCTTTGCCTGTTTGTTGGTACACATGCTGCATTTCCAACCAAGCTCTTTCTTTCTCTTGTTACAGCACAAGAAGTGTTCAACAGCAGTGCCTGATGGAGATGATGGAGATGCTGTTTCTGCAGACAATGGTGTAGTGCCGACTGTCTTTGAGTCCACAGTGCCACAACAGAACAACCAACCCCCAGCTGCTTGTACCAAACCCTCCAAGTGGGAAAAGTATCTCTCCTGTTCTAACAACTGTAGTGAAAATGCTGTTATGGCCACCTTGTCACCACAGGATGGCAGTGGAAGGTTGGGACTACACAGCACCACTGCTGTAAGTAAGGCCACTGCACATTTGGAGCAGGTTCAAAGTGCTCTACCTCTAGGTACAGATTTTGAATCTAAGAAGTGCATAGCTAGCACCGAGCAACTTGCCTTAAAACTGCCTGGCAGCATGCAGCCCAGCATCAATTGCTCAGGTGAGAACGATGCGTTGGCCAAAGAAGCTCCAAGTCAGGTGCTATGGGCTGGAGCTGGTGACTGCAGCACTGGTAGCAGAACTCCTGCACCCAGCCTTGCGAGGCCCAAGCCTCACACCACTTCTTGTGAACGCCTCTTCTGCACAGGTGATGACTTCAGTGATGATTTCTGAGAAACTTGGGCATCTTCACCATTGCTTTTCTGTCTGTCTGTTGTGTGGTTGGCTTGTATACTGTGCACTGAAGCAAGATTTTGAAGTGAAGGTAGCTTTAAGAGCACTATTAAAGAAGTTGCTTAAAGGCTATCTAGCTGTGTTCTGTTGGGAAAGACTGATCCAAGAAGTGCTACATTTGCACAGTGGTGTCTAGCAAGCATATTAGAAGTGAGAATGGAAGGAGGGAGGGAGCAGAGGTGCATCCAAGGCTTTAGGGATATCTGACTGGTACAGTTCAGTTCTGTGATGAATTCCCCACTGTAAACTGCAGCTCTTTTTCCTTGTTCTAGCTCTTTGTTTACATCACCCACAGCAACTCTTTCTTCCAAAGCTACTGTGCAGGCTTCAGAGCCAAGCATTTGATTTCCCTTCACAAATGAACAGCCCTAAGGGTCTGCTCAAAGCCCAACTTATGGGCAAGAAGCAGACTGCCACAGTGCTGGGCTGTCTGTTATACTGGGAGTCACCTGACATGGAAATCATGTGCTCTTGGCCTGGACCTTCTATCTTATAATCAAGTTCCAGTTAACAGAGTAGAACAGTTACAATAATTAAACGCCCACAAACTCATCACCAGTGAAAGAGTGGCAGTATTTATTTCTTCCTCCACACTACAAGCACTTAGGAACATGAAACAGAAACCTTTAACAGAAGATGCATTTCTAGAGTTAACTGTACCACGTTATTTTCTTTCAGTTAGAAGGAAACTAGTTTTTGTTACACGGACTACTACAAGTTAGGAGGCTGCTTGGAATACTGGATGGCATCTAGTGCTGCCCCGATGTCACAGTTCTTTGTCTGCAGGAGTCGAGTGAGCCATCCACCCTCATCAGAGAAGCCCATAGAGAGCATCTGGGACAGGGATTCAATCAAGCGAGGGTCTGCTTCTGTTAAGAGAATGACAGTTTGAAGTTAAAATGCTTCACATTCATAGCAAACCAGACAAGGCTGTGGAATCACACGGTAGGCTGGCACTAATCCTAGCAGATCTGGCATAGCTGACAAGCACTGGAAGACACTCCTGTGTATCCTATGAGGCAGACATTTTGAGGTACAGCATATGTAACTGGTAAGGAAACAGCTGAGTTAGATCTGTCTGTCCTTGCTGTACACGTCAGTGCTGGTGGTTTCAGTTAAGTGACCTGGCATACTTCTAACAAGCTCTTGCCAGAGAAGCCTCTTAAGTCACAGGATGTACTTCTACAGCCTGCATTAAAAGGCTCTCAAAGAGTCCACAGCAAGGACACTGTTTAGGAGACCACCTTTTTCATGCTGCTCAAATGGCATGTTAGTACCAGTTTAGGACTTGCTGCCCCCGTTCAAGCAGAGAATATGCCTGTTCCTAACAGCATGCAGAGTGCTGCCCGAGCACAAGTTACAATTTAACTTGTCCAGATGTGAGCTTGGTTCCTAAGCAGGTTTGCTTATACTGGGCAAGTTGGCAATAACTGAGAGCAACTTTCACCCACGTGAAACCTGCATGCATTCTCATACCTGGTGGGAGATGTGGGTAGAGTGCAGCCTCTCTCAGCCCTGTAGGTCCTGCCTGGGGAGCTTCCTGAGCTACATCTAAGGAGCTGGGATCATCTGTCTCTGGCATTTGTAGAGACTGCAGTTCACCTGTGGAAGGATCCACTTCTTTGGAAGATAAGTGGGTCCAGTCCTCATCACCCCCTGATGAACTGCTTGACTCGCTGTGTTCCTGAAATGGAAAGAAAGGAGGTCCAGTGCTGCAGTGCTTTCCAGGTAGGATGCATGCTCTTACTATCTGCTTTTAATGGGTAGAATTACCTTCACAAGTCCCACCTTTGCTGTAAAGCAGTAAAGCAAAGGTGCCATATATTATCTATCTGCTGACAACTGACTCATCAATCTCACAACACATACCAAATTACTCTCTCTCCAGTAAAGCCTCACCAACCATATTAAATTAGTGCAGTGTTTCTTGTACCTGGGACTGGAGGCTGCCATCTTCCATTTGTGTGGGCACAGGATCTATCACCATGTCTTGTATCTGCTCTGCAACATTGCTTACTACCGTAGCAGAATCTGTGCTATTCCAGTATGGTTTGGTCTGGCTGTTCTGGTTAAGAGTACTGCTGCTTGACTCAGCATTGTTACTCTCTTGATTAGGAGGAGCAGGAGTCACTTTGCTTCTCTGTCCTCCATGTTCCACATCAATATCAACTTCAATACCTAGGGACACATTTGAGACCAAGAAAAAACGTTACATTTTCTGAAAGCACAGTTCTAAGAAAAAGTACACATTAATCCTGGACTGAATGCTGCAGCATGATAAAACTGTAATCCTACAGTTTTCCATATAATATGTATGAATTCAAGTTTGTGAAGCATTCTTTTAGTAAGCTTTGATGCACCAATTAGTCATCCTCCACTAAATAGACAGGCCATATATTTAGAGGGTCAAGGCAGAACTTAAGTATGCCTGCCTAAGCAAAATATCACTGTAACATGATTTTAAGTCATTGGTGACTTGGGGTTATATAATTAATCCCTTCCTCAGCTCCTTACAAAGGACTCTGAAAAGGCACTGAGTGGATGGCCTACACCCAAACAATTTTAGTACACAATAATTTAAGGCTTTGAGGCTTAGTAGCACAAAGTGGTTCTGGTACCAACCACAACAGCTGGCTGCTGCTCCTGGTGGGAGCAAAGCCAGTCTCAGGGATGGGGATGACACACTGTAAGCCACTTACCCAGGGGGCTCAGAAAAGCTGCCACACTCTCCCCAACATTCTTTAAGAAGGTGACATTGGGGTCCTGGGGCTGGCTGTTAGTAGAAGCTTCTAGAAGAATAATTTGTGTTAGTACACATAGCAGCCCACAGGGAAAGAGCACATCCCCAGGAATTCTTGGTGCTCGTTTTGTGTCACTCGTCTGCACAGCACAGAGGCAGCAGAGAGACCAAAACCACCTCTGGAACAGACCAGTGGCATGAGCACTGTTAAGGCTCATCAGCCATGCTGAAAGGCACATCTAAGAGCAGAGCAGTGACATGCTTGACCTAATAGCTCTGCTTGGTCTGGTTCCAAATAATCCCTCTGTAGACTCATGTATTCCATGGCCACAAGACACACCAGAAGTGAAGCGTCCTGAAAGGGGCTAATTATTTCACACCAATTAGATTAGTTCCCATGTCTCTTTTCGCACCCAGATTCCACACTGTGCTGTGAAGTCCCAGCTACTCTGCTCCTCCAGCACTGCTCTCCTTTACCAAACCACCTCCTCTTACCTCCAGCAGCAGGTGGACTGGAGGCAGCAGCACTGGCTTGGGCTTGTTCCGAGTTCTGGCATGGAGCTGCAGGTCCAGGATACCCCCAGCAGTGCATCCAGGGGAAGGGTGGAACGCCGTGCCGCATCTTACGGAGCCAGCGCCCTCTGGGAAGCCACTGCAGAAGGTGATGTTTGTGGGGCAAGTGAAACTTCAAGCTTACATCTGGGTAGCATCCCATTCGTTGGTTCCGCTCCCTAAGTTTTGCTCACCTCAAACGGATTCAGCAGCGGGCTCTGAAACATCACCATGTTGTGCTCCTTGTGGATGCCTTTCCCCTCGCAGGTGCTGCACAGGTCGTAGTCAGGGCAGACGGTGCACTTGAAGCGAGCACCCACCACCGGCCCCTCGCAGCCGTCGCAGATGACGTTGGGGTGCACCATGTCACGGGGAGGCTCCTGGCTGCACTGCGAGCGATGTTCACGCCTGCACTCCTTTTTCTCTATTAAGGAAAGGGAACTTTGCATCAAGAACGAGGGTACTATTTAAAGGCTGGAAATCGGGCAGAGGAGAAGGAAACACAAACAGCCCTTGTCACAGCAGTATTGACTTACTAGGTCAGTTTATTTTTACACTGGCTGCCAAACGCAAGCTGAGGGCACATAAGAACACTGACCAAGTGCAAAGGGGTGTTACAAGCATACCTGCGCCTCAAACAGCATGCCTCACCCCTAGCACTCTGCATTGGTTTAGATTAGTGCTGCACCACCCTGCTTGGTGTGTCGTCCTACTTTGTGAAGTGCTGTGAGAATGGAACGCTTCTTGAGAGGGCTCAGCAGTGCCAGGAGACACAGCAGATGAGAACTGAGACAAGAAGGGAGGCTTACATGACTCGCTGCATGGACTGCACGTAAAGCTTTGCAGGTTCCCAAGTGAACAGAAGGGACTGAGGAACAACGTGCTTAGGAATAAGCTGGATTTTGGGCCCCTTAGCATGTTACAGCACCTGCTGGCAGTACAGCAGGGGGTTCACAGGACCAGCCCAAATACACCAGCTCTCACTGTGCCAACCAAGGCCCTGGAGCCAGGAGGAAGCCCTGGGCAGGGTGGGTTTATGCCCTGTCATTACCCTGCCCTTCATTTAACCTCCCCTCTGAGCTGTGGTGTGAAGATGAGGGACAGAACGGGGATTTTCCCAGTCTCGGAGCCCAGCCAGCAGCACATCGAGCCAAAGCACTCGGTGCCACCAGGGCTGCGAGGCGTTACCTCTGATGTACACGCGGAAGACCCCGTCCTGCACATAAGGCATGGCCATATCCAGCTCCTCGTCGGTAGAGAACGCGATCAGGTCCCCGTCTTCATCTGGGTAGGGCAGAGGACCCCGTCAGGCGCTCGGCCCACGGGGCAGAGGGACACCGCGCCGCCAGGCCCGCCCCACCTCCCGGCCCCGGCGCGGGCTCCCGGCGGCCCCGACCCGCGGGGGGAAGCCCCCCGCCCCGCTCACCCTTATAGTGCATGCGGAACGCGGGCGGCGGCCCGGCCCGCAGCAGCCCCTGGAAGAGCTCGGCGACGCGGTCGTGAACGGCCTGATAGCGGACAGGCGGCATCAGGGAGAAGCGGCGGATCTCGCGGGTCGCATCCTCCTTGCCCAGCAGGTAGGCTTTCACCGTCAGCGCCGCCATGGCTGTGGCGCAGCAGGAATTGCCGGCGGGACGCGGGGCTGCGATACGCGCTGCGGGGCGGGCGACTCGGGGCGGGCGGGGTGCTGCGCGCCCCTGTCTTATAGCGCCGCGCTGCGGGATGGGCGGAGCTGGGTTTGGCCACGCCCCCTCCCGCAGGCCACGCCCATTTGGCCTGGCGGCGCCCGCGGCCTGCGCTGCCGGGAGACTGTAAATAGAGAGACGTTATTCGTCCCGAAAGTAATGCCTCCTATTTTTCTCCGTGGGAGCTACAGCAGCTACAGAGAGCACGATGACACTGTTCGATAGAGCAAGTTCTCAGCTACAAAATGTTGTCACCACCACAGTGCTATGTGTTTTCACCAGTGATGAACAAGAGCCTGCGTGCTGCTCTCATAAAATCCTGTCCTGCTGGAGGTGACTGCTGTCACTGTCACCGCTGCTGAAATGCACCACCCACCGCCATGCTGTGCTCACAGCCACTCACTCATCTCCATAAACACTCAGCAGGCATTGGTGAATGTCAGCGAGCACCACTTCTTCAACCTCTGCTGCCATCCTGCCACCAAACAGGAGGCATTACTTTTGGAGCAGCCCTTGTATGTCGGTTGTGTAGCACTGATTTCCTCCAGCCCGTGGCCTGGATGCCCAGCTTGGGCTGAGATGATAAAACCGTAGAACCTGTGCTGTGATGCGGTGCCCTTTGCAGCCAAGCACAGGGTAAGCGTTAGTTTCCATGCGCCAAAATGCGGCCTGCCATGTGGGTCTGTCCTTGGCCCACGTGAGGCAGTTTTGAGATCGCAGCGCTCTTCTGGAAAGCAGCACTCATGCAGCATGAGGTGACAAGTGAAAGCTTGATGTGAGCCACGGCCTGGGCATCAACACCAGGAATCCTTGTGCTCCTCCATGTGAACTTCAATCCAGTAAACATGGAGAACGTCCCATCTCTGTGCTGCCTGCTGAGTCACGCTGGGCCCTCTGGCTGTGACATCACTCACTTTCTCAAAACACAAAGAAAACAAGGCCTCGGCTGGGCCCCGGTGAGCTCAGCTCATGGTCACGGGATGGGGTGACTCAGCGTTCCCTCCTCCTCCTTGAGGTGGGGATTTCCTTCTCCAGGCCCTGACTGGTGTTTCCCCATGGCTGGGGCCCTGCTGTGCTCCCATGTATTCCCACGGCACTCCCTACATCCTCTCATCCCACAGCTGGACAGATGAAGGATGTCTCCCCACCAAACCCCACCTGCACACAGCTCTGCAGCCTGAGATTTGGCTTGAGCTCATGTTAACTTGAGCCTATATTAACCCAAGCTTGGCATTCATTTGGCAGCATTGAATATTTTCTTGCCATTCTTTAGGAATCATGCTCCATCAGAACAATCCTTGCTCAAAAAACCCCTTGGCAACCCCGGTTATGAGCAGCTCCCCAGATGGATGGAGCAGAAGGACAGCAAAGCGGACGGGAATAAAACTGCTCCAGTTTCACGATTCCAAGTTGCAGAGGAAGGGCTCAGAAAAGAGCATTCAGCACCCCTGCAGCTCTGCTTCCTCCCTCCACCCACCTTCTGCTGGAAAGTGTTTAAAAATATTTGCTGAGATTGCTGCTCCGAAGGCCCAATCGTCAAAAGTGCTCCTTCTGCTCAAGCTCTGCGCTGTCACAGCAAAGCCCCGCTGGGATTCAGCTCCCGTGCTCACAAACCACAACAGAGGCTGCTGGCAGTTCTCCAGAGGGAATCATTATCCAAGCCACCGCCCCACCACCCTGCACCTGGGCGAGGGGGAGGGTTTGCCCTGAGCAGAGCTGCAGAGAGCAGGTGCTGGTGCTTTCCAGAGGCTTCTGGAGAGGGATCCTCCGGATGTGCGAGGTCAGATGCTGATGACTCACCCTGCCCCGTGACTGCTTCCTCCTCCGGCCCTGCAGAAGGGCTGCCTGCCCTCCTCTATGCCTCCTTCAGCCTCACCAGGGCTCCCACCCAGCCCTGAGGCAGCTCCTGGTGTCCAATCACCATCATGATTAACAATGCATAACATAATGAATAACAAAAAACACCTTGCATCCAGCCTGCTTCCAGGGTGTCACAAACACATGCTCACACATACATATATATGCACACATCAATAGGTAGGTGTACATGCATTAATACAGAAATACATCTCTTTTTTGGTGGTAGGATCATGTTCAGAAACATTGCTTAGGAAAACTGTGTGGGCAGAAGGGGAAGCCAAGCTGTCTTTTTGCTGTCTCATTTTGAGGTCTGGTTTTCCTGAAGCTGAGCTCTGAACCTGGTGGTGTTTACATAGGATCAGAACCATTCTTCACTGGTGTAACACAACACTTCTTTTTAAGGGAGGAAGAGCAGGCACTGAGCAAAGAAGACAGGAAGAAGGTGCAGATAGCAAGCATGGAGTCAGCATGCATCTATGCCATGAGAGGACATCAGAGCTCTGTGCTTGCACAGGTGAGATGGTGCTTTTTCCAACCTACATTCCTTACCTGGAGTGAGTGCTGTGTTCAGAATGTGATTTGTGACTTTTGCCCCGAATGAGAACCTGAAGGCAATAATGTCTGAATGCGGCAGCCTATGGGCACCTGGCAATGAGGTCACTTTGTTGCTGATGAAATAGCACTGTGCTGATGCAGAGCAGCTGGGCCAGAGTCAAGCTGGGGTGAACGACTCTTCAGAGAACCAGACAAAATCAGCTATCAATCTGCACTGCATTCTGAATCTGGTTCTAACACGCATTTCTCCTAATTTCTGTCACGGCCTTAACTGTGGGCAGCTCACAGTGTGCAAACCAAGCTCCTGCAGTGTGCTCAGTGCTGCCAGCACCGACAGGACAAAGGTCACCGGGCTCTGTTTGCTGTTTGGGTTTTTGAGTGTTTGCAGTTCACAATTCAAACTTTGCTTAAAAAAAAAAAAAAAAAAAAGAATGACAAAATAAAGCCAAAACCGAGGTGGGGGCGGGGAGGGCCTTTAGGAGTCAAGGTAAACTTTGCCACCAATACAAACGTCACAGGGGCTGAAAGTTGCGCTCTTATTTTTCCAATGAAAGCCCAAGGTTTTATCATGCCGTGGTGTGGGGAAGCTCATTTATTTCTTCAGCCTTTTATGAAAACAAAATACAACAGAGAAATTAGATTAAGCCCTATCCTTTGAAAGGAGTCTAATTGGTCGTCTTGGAGAAATCATTGTTTTTCTTTCCCACTGCAGGTGCATCGCATATCCCAAGCAGTGGGAGCATTTTGCACATTTGGAAACAGTCCCTCAGCATCTGATTCTGATTCTGATGATTCTGGTGCAGCAGAACACATCCTGGTATTGCCCTGAACTCAGCAATGATCATAGGGCTCAGCACTGCTCCCACCCGCAGCTCTCTGGAGGGGTTCCCCCATTAACTGCAGCTCCTGCAGTGCACATCAAGGTTTCAAAAAGTGATTCATTGCCCAAAATGGGGAAGGGATGCAGGGCTGCCTAATTGCCACCCCGTGTGTATGGCTGCTGTAATGCAGCGATGCTGCAGCTCTGGGAGCCCACAGTGCGCTGCCTTTTCAGCCCAGCCTCACTGTGCAGCTCACAAGGAAACGAAGCTGAGCCCATCAGCAGAAGACTGATGAACTGAAGAACAAGCTAACTAACATTTATATCTGATTTCTTCTGTCCTGCCCAGCAGCTGAAGGTGGACTCTGTGCAAGGTGTTTCTGCACCCACTGCACTATACACAAAGATATGTGTACACAATGCACACCTGTATATAGAGAGACAGACAGACAGACAGGTGCATGTAGGGATATGTACCCCTGCACTCACTTTCATATGCACACATCCACACAGACCTGTGCGGGCACCTTTGCATGCGTGCATTTCTATGTCAGGATTTATGTGTGCACACACATATACATGTGTGCAGCTATGTGCATAAACGGAGTATAGAGGTAGCTGCCATTGTATATGCAAACCATGTGCACATGAGTGCATAAGTACACACACACATGCACACACACAGAGATGTATATACACGTACACACACACAGAGATGTGTATACATGAACACACACACGTACACACACACACAGATGTATATACATGTACACACACACACGTGCACGCACGCACTCCATCGCAGCTGCCATGCCGCATTCCCCCACATGGGGGCGCTCTCCGCCCGCGCCCCTCCCGGCCCCGCCCCTCCATGCCCCGCCCCGCCCGCCCGGCCCGGCGCGGCGCGGTCCCTGCATGCGGGCGGGCGGGCGCCGCGCCCCGCTCCGCGTACTCCGGGGCCCCCGGGGCCGCCGAGGCCGCGCCGCGTTCGGGCCATGCGGCCGCCGCCGGCGGAGAGGAGGCGATGAGGCTCCGCAGCGGCACGGCGCTCACGCTGCTGCTCGGCTGCCTCTGCGCCTTGCTCTCGCTCTCGTGGTACGGAGCCTTCGGCGGGCACAAAGGTAAGGGGCGGCTCCGGGCCGCGGGGCGATCCGGTGGGGTCTGCGGAGATCCTGTGGGTGGATCCTAGGGACCCGGGGTCCCGGCTGGCGGCATCCTGACGCGCCGCGCTGGGGTCCCATAGAGTCCGCGGGGGCCGCACTGGGGGTCCGCGGTGCTGCGCTGCGGGCTGGGGGTGAGCAGGGGCTGCTGGGCGCTGCCGGCTGCGATGCTCGAGGGGAGAACCCGTGCCGGCTTTAAATCCTACTGGGTTTCAATCCCTATGGAGAGATGGGGGCCCCGTGGCTTCAGGGCGACGAGGGACCAGAAGGACGGGGAGCCGAGCGCCCCGCTGCCGTGCTGGGGCTCTGTGAGCAGCCCCTCCCTGTGCTTCTGCGTGGTGCTGAGCTGGGTGCCGGGTTTGGGACGGTCCACAGCTGGGAGCTGCAGCCTCTGCTCATCCTGCAGCAGAAATACGGAGCGTGACCCCAACGGAAGCCCCTCTGTTTCCTTCTGGTAGGGCTTCGCAGCCCTGATTCCGTCTGGCACCAGTTGCTGACGAACAGCGGTGGTTACAACAGGTTACAGGTAGCGCGGGTTGTGTGCCGGCACGGTGTGTTTGCTGCTGGTGAGGCCGTCCTGGGACCGTTGTCAGCCCTCAGAGGTCAT